CAGCCAGCTCTGCCTTTTCTGGGTTGCTGTTAAGGAACTTAAATTAAGGGATTATCCCCCTATAATGGAGAATCAAATGGAAAAGAAAATGGAAAATGAAATGGAAACTGGGAGAATATAGGGATTTCATTAGGGTTTGTATTGGGGTTATGTTGGGATACTGGAAAATTAAATGGAAACTACTACAATATTGGGGTTATATAGGGGTTATATATGGAATGAAGCAGCGACTGTGGCCTTCAGATTCCATGTTTTGATTCAGGAGCGTTTTGCAGAGCTTGCAGCCCTCGGAGCCGCAGCCTTTAAGGAATCTGTGTGTCACTTGCACGGCCCTAGCAAGATGTTTCTCTAGCTTCCAAGGTAGTCAGCGTGGAAGATGCGGACGGCTCCAGGACCAACAAGCTTCCAGTAAGCTTCAGCCTGCTATGGGAAGCATGAGTTTCTGTTGAGCAGGAGAGCTGGGGGAGAGGCCCCCGGCCGGATCACTTTGCGGCAAAAGCAGCAACTTCTCTACGCCCAGCCACTAGATTGCAAGCTGAATCATGTGACCCACTGCTTTTGTGCTTTTGCAAGCTTGTCGGCTCAGGGAGTTTTTGATTAGGTTTATGGCGTCAGCTGTGACATCTATGCCTTTCGCCTTTGAGAACGAGCCTTTGCTTATCATCTTTGTGCCGCGGCCGAACTCGAAGAAATACTTTGGTCAAAGCTGGGTTCATGCCACAGCATCCAAGCGGGCTTATACCCTTAATTTAAGCAGCCTACCTTAAATCATGCTAGTCTCCCTCTTATGGTTTAGGGATGTTTAGGGTATGTCGGTACATTCCTCAATCAGGGGGTATTGGGTCCTTGTGGGATGCATGCAGTGTAACAGAGAAGTTGGAGCCTTGCAGGAGTGCAATCATCACCTTGCCCTGCATGCCGGGGCCTTGCTCGCGTCCGCTGACGGAGCTTTGAAGGAAAAGGAGGTACTCTCTCCTGAGCAGGCCCTGGTAGCAGAACTGCAGTCTGCGCCATGCTGGTTCATGCATCTTAGCTGGTTTTGCAGGTTTTTGTGGAGGCGCTCTCCATCATCAGCTGCGTGGTCCTGAAGAGTGTGTTGAAGAGAGAGTATAATCTTTCTCCCGAGCAATGCGCGACCTTCAACCCGAAGGAGCTACGGCAGGAGCGAATCAAAGTATTTCCGACTTGGTCCTTCCGAGGGGAAGATGGACAGACACCGGCGCGCAGCCGTTTCCCAGCTAGCGAGTGGCTGGAAAAGATTTCTCCTCTGGTAGAAAACTTTGGTCGGCCAGATGAGATCATCTCCTACATCCGCAAAATCACGGATGCAGACCCTTGGGATGACAGTCGAACGCGGCACGAGGCCAAAGTCGATCATCTCGAGGGCCGGCGCCAGGGCCGCAAAAACAAAATGAAAGCCTCAAAGGCGGGATCGAAGGCCACCAAGACCACAAAGGCCACTGCGATGGATGGGAAGCTGGGTTGCTGCTAAGGAACTTAAATTAAGTTACTATGTTGGGGAAACCTTATTATTTATATATACCCATTATGGTACCTTAATTTAAGTTCCTTAACAGCAACCCAGGAAGGTCACTCCGAAGGGTGGCCGTGGCCGCGTTGAGAAGGGGAAGTCGACGCCCAAGAAGAAGCCAAGGAGGAGGCGCCAAACCCTTAGGGTTTAGGGTTTAGGGTTTAGGGTCCATCTTCAGATTGCAGTTGACGTTTGCTTAGTGGTGCTTAGTAGGGACTAAGGGAATAGAATCTCCTTGTAATCCCTATGTAGTAATATTCCCAGATTCCCTACTAACCCCAAACCCTGGACCATATATATATATATCATATATCATATATCATATAGTGAGTATAATCCCTATATGACATATTCCCAGATTCCCTACTTTGAACCAGTAAGTGTGTGCTTGCAGGGCCGGCGCCCTGGACTCTGAGGATGACTCAGACTGGGAGGAGCTTTTGATATCTCACATGAGCTAGAGTCTAAAGTCCTTAAAAGGGGGTTATATAGGGGAGTATGGAGGGGACTACTATAGGGGTTATTAAGGGGGATACTAGGAGTTTAGACTATAGCTCGCATGCAGACTTTCTGGTGCCATAGTTTCAGCCCGCCGTGCAGGAGCCAGGTGCTCGAAAGCGGCCAAAGTTGCAAGCCAAGGCTCACCACGTTCACCTGTAGCTCCCTACATCAGACCAAAGAACCTACTCCTCTTCAAAAGGATCCCAGGAGCAGACCCATAGTCTTGACAACCTCCACATGGCTGTTTCAAGGGGATAACGGAGTTGGCTCCAGTTGGCAGGGGGCGGCCGAAGAACCAGACCACCGACAGCAGGCTGGAACCCAGTTTCAGTTCGCACTTGTTCCGAATAGCAAGAACAGTGAAGTCACTCATCCAGAACGGTCTGCGAAGTCGCGCATATATTTTGCAGTTCAGATGGCCTGTTTCCTTTTGCGAGCCTGCTTTGGAGGACTCAGAAGAGGAGCTGCTGGCGGAAGATGCTGACTGAGGAAGCAGACAGCACGTTGTTTTTTTGGCTTCCTGCATACCGTTCCGGGGCAACAACAGATGATAAGAGATACTTGGAGGAATGCTCCTAAGTGCAGAGATCTTGCCATGCTTCTGTACATTTAGAATCTGGAATCTAGAAGATAGAAGCAGCAAGCAGGCTGTTCACGTTGTCGTCGGTCTCGGCGCCATTAATGTTTTTTGTAGTGACACTAATTACAAGGCCGCCAGGCCTTGCAAGTCTCACCGCAGCAGAGCCTAGCCTGGGACTGCGTCAGCATCGCGGACTCAGCGCTGAGTCGGCTTTTTATGCTTCACGGAGGTAGTGCCAACAGAGAGACTGCGGCAGGCTTGCAGCTTCAACACCTAAGTCTTAGGCTCAAGTCGAAGCTTGAGGCATTTTGCCATTTTGCAGGGCTGACAAGAGCGGGGTATCAATCATGTAGGCTGGAATCTGCATGCTTCCGCTGCACTACGTATGTTAGGGCTTCGACTCAACTCGAGTGTGCGCAGCGGATGGGGAGCGCTGCAAGAAAGTTTTTCCCAGCATGCGGATCTGTTGGATGGTTTTGTGCGCACAATGGGAGTGTCTCTTTCAGCACTGTTGGGCAGCCAGTTCGGCTCCCTGCGTTCTTGGGCAGCGATCTGCGCCCAGTTGCAGTGAGGCGTTTGGGAAAGGGCCGGACTTGCAGAGATTGGGAGGACGTTTCAGCTTGATTTCTTCGAATGCATGCCATGTCAAGTGGCGGATGACAGTATTATTCAGAACCAGTAAAGAATGGTAAATCCCTGTCAGGATCCCTGGAGCTTTGGGTATGGCGCCGGGCAACTTCACAAGTGATCCTGCGCAGAGAGCCAAGGCTACTCCTGTTGGGAGGATTAGTCCTCGCAATTCGCGTGGTTGCAGGATACTTTGTATTTCGGGCCGTGGAGCTTTTTGGGGATCCATCATTGGGAGGTCGAGGGTTTACGAGTGCAGGGTTTTGGGTTCCACGGCCATTGAGAGTTGTAGTATCTCGAAAGCATATTGTAAAAAGACCCACATGCATGTAGCTAGTTGTCCATTCTCCCGTTGGGTAATCTTTGCAGCGCATTTTTCACAAGTACTACAGCACCCTATAGACTTGGTATTCCCCAGACCCAACCAGGGATTCACATTCATTTGGACATGAACTCGTTGTAGCCCTTGTAGACAGAAGTTATCAATGCGTCATCCCCTGAATTAAAAGCGCCAAGCCTGGACGGTATGTACAAGCCCGAAACCCTCCGTAAACCCTAAAGTTTTCTAGACCCTAACCCAAAGCCCTGGCCCTTGTGAGGACATTGCAGCGGCCCTTACTGGAGCAGCCGGGAACCTGGGCAAGTCCAACTTCTGTGACAGAGCCACCTTCAGTTGTATTCGGTGGTGATAATGGTCAAGGGAGTTTTGTGTATTTGGAAAAGAAAAAGACATGTAATGTGCAAGGTTATGTCAACAGCACTATGTTGTGACTTTCGACCCCAAGCGACAACTGTAGCGTAAGCCCACATTTAGACAGCAAACTGCCAACAGAGTTCGCTGTACCCACTGTGGCTGACCGACGGGTTTTTGCTCGGTAGCGCCTGCTTGACCTCGCATTGGTGTGCACGTGACGAGTGCTGTCGGACTTCAGGTCTGTTTGCCTCCAAGGTCGATTCTGCGTTGAGGTCGGTGGCCTCCGGCCTGAAGACCGAGGTCTGCAGCAGGAGAATCGTGTTTCGGGACTTTTCCTAAGTCACTCTGGGCCGTATGATGGCTGGGCCGAAGTTCTGCTGCAGGCACATCTCGCAGATTGCTTTTGGATGCCTTTTCAATGCTTTTGCAGGATCCAGAACAGCCCTGCAGACGAGACAGAGGCATGTATCGTACATCTGCCGTTGGAGGATGCCGGGTATTTAGCCTTAATCTTGCGAGCCCAGGCGAGCCGCGCCTGCTATCGTCTTCAGACGCAGCTGCTGGAGAAGAGCCAAGCCCGGGCACAGAGGCTCCTACACAGAAGCATGATGGCCCCTTTGTAGAATTGGGGTTATACTGGGATAATGGAAAAGAAAATGGACACTACTATATCATGATAGGGTATATATTATGGTTATAGAGGGAATATATTGGGATAATGGAAAAGAAAATGGAAACTATAGGGATTATTGGGGTAATCTTGAGGTAATATGAGGTCATCTTTTTATGCTGTGGCTGTGGCGTGCTGTGGCTGCATCTCCCTGCCAGCTGAGGTTTGAGCACTTTGTCTTGGAATACCTGCTGAAGGTGCCAGGCCCCAAGTTTGCTTGGGCTAGGGTTTAGGGTTTAGGGTTTAGGGTTTGGCTAGTTGTGTGCCGAGTGGACCCATGGTCCCTCCTGCTGGTTAAGGCCTGAAGGTCCAAGTCTCAACATGTCGAGCGAGCAGTCCACGGACCCGATCTGCCTGGGAGTTTGTCAACAAAAGGGGCTGCAATAATTTATTGTCAATCTCCATAAATCCTCAGGCTCTCTAAGGTCTGTTCATGTTGAGAAACCCCACATCAACACTTGCAGACTGAAAGTTGATGCGCCTGAAGAAATCTTTGTCTTCTAGACGGTACCAGCTGGCAGGAGGCTGCTTCCACGGCAACCGCATCTGCAGGCTCGGGTTGCGAGTTTGGACCACCTCATGAACATTAGGTTGGAAAGCTGTCACGTTCTACAAGGTCATGCGTGAAAGTTCCGAGATGAAAGAAGCTGGTTCTAGGATGGACAATCTACAACCTGCCACAGACTGATCCGACCCTTTGAACCTGCTCCTATGTAGATTTGCAGACCAGAATTCCAGATTCGGACCTGGCGCCTGTCCCTTACGTTACATCCTAATGCCTGGAATTCACTCCCTACATATTTAAAGACGTTGCTTGAGCTCTCGTCGTGATGTCAGATGCGCTGGCGATTCGGAACCGTCTGACAAAGTTCTTTTGGCTTTCCGGGGGGTCTAGGGCTCTTTTCAGTGGCCCAAATGGTTTCCAGAGAACCGCAGTAGTGGGTGGGATTGATACATTTTGTCCAACGGACAAATACCCGCAGAGGCTTAGTCTTCTCAATGTTCAGCATTCTTTCGGGGTAAAATTCATTGCAGGAGAGGAGCTTGAATTGCATGAAGGCAAACCCATTAGCCGGATGCTCAAGCACCTTGAACTCGAGCCTTCAGCTCCATGAACTGCGCGCGGCGTGTCTCTGATGCCAGCGGCTCCGGGGCCCGATAAAGTCAGAGCGCCCTTGCCAGCGGCTTCAAAGTGTGCTGTCCACACAGATTTTGTTTTAGGGCTTAGGGTTTAGGGTACAACACACAGCGTTCCTCCCGCAGCATGTGCACCACGCAGACGTGCGCGACCTGCGTCCCTACCCCATGCGGAGCGCTGTGCGCCTCGCACTACTACGAACGCCTCTGTAAGAACCGGCCCAACCCACAGGTATCAACCTTATGCCGAAAATACTTTCCAGGGAGCTAGTTATTAACAATGGGGCAAGAGCATTGAGTGATTCACAGATGAACCCACTTACTAGCACTGCCTAGCACTACCTTAACTAGTCCTGGCATACAGCTTCCATGCAGGAATCCCACTGGAAAGCAGGGCCTGGAGCCAAGTCGAAACGGGCTTCTCAGGGATCCCCGGGATCCCCTCTTGATGAGGTATTGTCCAAACTCCTTAAAGGGGTCTCAAACAACAAAAAAGGATTAAATAGGGGAGTAGGAGTTTGAACTATAGCTCAAACAGGGCTTATGTAGGGGAGTATAAGAGGTATTATTAAGGGGGATAGTAGGAGTTTGAACTGTAGCTCAATGAATTTTTTTAAAGAGCCTTTGAGCCCCTGAGCAGCCAAGGGGCGCGAGGTTGAGGAGGTCACAGGCCTTGCAGCGCCGTGGCTCAGTTGAGTAGAATCTTAAGTGAGGAAATCTAAACTCCTTAAAAGGGGGTTATATAGGGGATTATATATGGGACTACTATAGGGGTTATTAAGGGGGATACTAGGAGTTTAGACTATAGCTCAAGTGAGGATGCTATAGTGCTCAGAATGAAGTAAGATGAGCATTTCCTTCTGGTTGTAGTATGTTGTGAATCTCTCTGAAGTGATTCAACTCGATCCCTTTCTGGCCTGCCTAGATTTCAGTTAAGGTGCCCAAGGCCAGCAACAAAGCTGTGGCAGCGCGCCTGGATGAGGCAGAATCATGGCCTTGCAGATGTTGGTGCAATCCCTAGCATGAAGCTGCCTTTGCTCTCCTGCTGTTGCCGAAGCTGTTTGGCGAGCAACATTCTCCAGCTTGCTGAAGGCTCATTTGTTTTTTTGAGCTGCCTCTCCAACAAGTTTGGGCGAGTTGAATGGAAAAGCCCTAGCGACAGGCAACATTCCATGATGGGTTGTATTCCCTTTTGTCGACAACACCAGGGTTGTGTCATATACCTACCTGGGTTGAAAGAGAGCCCTGCTGTCCTTCTGCAGGAGATCGCTGAAGTCCAAGCAAAGCTTGTGCAATCTATGCATAGAGCGTCGGGACCTTGGACGGCATGGTCCGATCTCCAAGGGGTTTGAGGGTATGATGCGATGCAGCCCCAGCCAGCAACGGACAATCATGACAGCGCTCTCCTTGGACCCTATATGATAATCTAGTTTCCATTTTATTTTCCATTATCCTTAATCTAACCCCAATAGCCTATAGTAGCTTCCATTTTGTTTTCCATTGTCACTATATAACCCAAATATACTATAGTAGCTTCCATTCTATTTTCCATTGTCCCTATATTAAACCCTAAACCCTAAACCCTAAACCCTGATCTTTGCATTGCCGTCGCCTGGCAGGGCCTCCCTGAAGAAAGAGGCATCCTCACTTGCTGGGCAGCCAGGCTCTCAGGTGGCCTCAGCTCATGTTGTTTTACCTAAACCCTATATGATCCCCATAGCACCCCTATATAACCCCCAAAAAGGTACCCTTAATCCCTATATCCCTATATAACCACCAA